TGTTCATGCAGGCATTCCCCTCCCCCGCTCCCCAAACATTTCAAACTTTCTCGTTTGTTAAGTTGACTTTAAATCTAACTTCATTAGTTCTTATGCAGCAGTTTTTTTTTTGTTTCACTTCCTCTTTCTTCCCTCCTTCTTGGTGGGAAGGATTCAGACATTTACTGTATGCATCAAAAACACATTTCTTCTGTAGAAATCAGACAAAGAAGAGAGATCATGCAACTTCCCTTTCTAGGGCTCTGCAGTGGAAAAGAGCGAAATGTATAAAACAAGCGTCACCTGTGCCTTTAAACAACATTAGGTTGACACTTGTGTAAGCCAGGAAAATTCACTGAGGTCTAAGTAGTGATGTGTTAGAAACCTCAGTCTGGTGCCACTCTATGTTGTGTTTTACTTCAGCTAGAGAAGAGTTTCACTGTTGCACCGATGCAGTGCTGCTTGTGCAAGTCACTTGTTTGTTCCACAACTGTAGCTATAGTGCAGCAGAAACATACTCCAAAACCTTCCATTCTTCCAATTCTCACACTAATTCATGTGCCTCAATGACTTTCTGACAATGTAGCACAACGGCAAAACTATAGTGAAAGATTTGTGTTAATTTAATAGTGATTTCAGCACTTTTAGAAGAGCATTTTTGTTCTTTTTTATGTAGGCGATATATCAGCAAAGAATGCATGAGATCTTTGCAAAAAAAAACAATATAAGTTTGTCAGAGATCTAACACTTCATGCAATGCAACAGCTGGAAAAGAGCTCTAACAGTAATCATATAAATTATTATTTTATATAACTATAATTATGCTACTACAGCATAACACAATATTCTCCACGCTATATTCTCCAATACAAACTAATTTAAATGTTAACAGCAGTATTCAGAAACATTAGATGTTGTTGGATGCCAATGAACACTGCATGCTCAACTATAACTAACTATAAAATAACTGTACAATGCAAACCCAGAGGCTTAAACTCATACTTTCAACTGTCAGTACAATACTGGTACAGAAAGGCCTTGATGCATCTTTGTAAATGCCAGACACGTGAACCTTTACACCATAAAGCAGTACAATGCCTTAAATTAGAAGCCTTCCACTAACGCATGGAGCTTCTGGTGTTTATTAAACCTTCAACACCAGAATTTAACTTGTTACTTCAACTCTTTCTCGTTGTTTAAATCGTGTTGTACTTTAACCATGCTGAAGCGCACAGTTAACGAACTCTAATTTTGAAAGCACTGATAGGAATGCAGTAATTTATGAAAAGATGGCCTTCACAGATCATTTGCACACTTACCATCTTGCAAATCACATTGCTGAATTTCTGGCATGTGGCTTTGTTTGAAAAATCACTTAATAAAATAGGACATTTTCCGTTTAAAGCGTCTGAAAATATCAGAAACAGAGACAAGATATCTGAACATGTAAACTGCATGTTATGGACCAGTATTGCTGTATATAAACCATGAAGTCAAAAATATAGACATATAATATTATAAAAAACATACATTATGCATACATGACATCCCAATCTGCTGAGTTTCGTGCACGTTAGTGTGCATTACTTTGATATCGATTTACTATATATTATGTTTAAGGTAGGAAACTTCCTTTTCTTGCAGACAGAAATCTAAGATTAATTAAACAAAAACCCGAATGAGATCATCTAAAACGGGGGCATTGTAAGTTACCAGTCCCATCTGAACAAAGCTTCAGCTGAAGCATTGCCTCTCCACGACAAAAACAATGCCATTTTCACGCACGCAGAGGTATGCTTCCTCTCCTCTGCACTCAGTAGGAACGTGTGTGTAAACAAAACGTTAAATCCAGTTGTCATTTCGTTCCAAGCGGGCGAGATCCACAAAGGTAAGCAGCCGTGCATTCTAAAAGCATGAATATTGTTCTTACCACTGGAATTCTCATTTGCCAGTGCAGCTGTAGCCCCCAACAACGTTGCTGCCACCGACTGTGCTGCTGTTGCTGCAGCACTGGCTCCATTTTCCTGTTCATCTCCACTGCTATTAGTGCGTTTATTTCTCTTCCCCTTGTTGTTTTTCTGGTTGGGCATGGTGCTTTTCCTGATCCTATTTAATGCTCTTTATCAGAACCTGCTGTCTTTCATGTCCCCCCGGTTCTCATCCGATTGCAGCACGGAGTTTTTGCTTCTTGTCGTTTGCTGTTCGCAGGTGGCTCTGGCGTTTACAGTCTTTTCACCACCATCCAGATTCCTGCAGCACTGTCAACGAAGGTATAGCATGAAGAAGGCGTGTCTGTCTTGTTTTGATTATGATTCCGAATCTCAAACGGCCAGGCGCTGTTTTCCTCCTGCCTCGGTGACGAATCGCAGCTCCTCCCACCGCCCATCGGCCATGGTTTATTAATAGAACTGGCAGGGGGAACCTAAGTCGAGAAGTTCTTTTGAAGTGAAAATAGGCCGGTTTTCAAACGGTAGAGGTACTCCCTCAATAAGCCTGTAAGCCTTAGGCTGGCCAGCGGTTTACTGTCCAAAACTTGTTCTTCTCGGCTGTGATTTTGAAATCTACTCTTAATTGTTTCTGCACCTTGGAGAATTAAGATGTGTGACACTAAATACTGTATATGGTGTACATTTCTTAAGATAAATATTAAGTCTCAGTAATATGTTTTCATTTGGAAGCATTTGGAAGTTTGTTACTGTTATATCGCAGTCGATGTGTATTTCCTACAAAGGGTACATCAAAGTAGTACAACAGGCACATCCTGATTTTAGTCCACTGCTGTGGTATTGTAGAACCTGTTAAGGACATTGCACAGGAATAAGACGACATGAAGTTTGGGAAATTCATTTTATTTACTTTTTTAAAAGCACACTTCTATTCCGTGTATGTTAACTTGCCCTTGCAAGTTAGTGTAATATTTGGGGAAATGTCACAGGTCAATAAATCGACAATGGGATAGGTCTCGAGTTGCCGTGTTCCATACCAGAAATGAGCGGGTTTCTTATTAATCGGTAGGTGGTGTGCAGAGAACGTTTATGGCTGTAAGCATTCAGTTTCCCATTGCACAGTCATAGTGCAATGGGAGAAGGGGGTTTTACAGAGTGGAAATCCCTTATACTTAGGTTTGAGGAATTTATGAGCTTCACTGGAAATACAGCCATAACACTGTCCACTTTACTACCACCTATGTCATGATTAATGATTAAGTCATGATTAATCTTGTTTTTATTTGGATTTGCAATACTGAAAGAAGGTGTATTGACTGTTATTATTATATGTGGATGTGATTTTCAAAGCATCCAGTCACAGATACACTACAATATGTCACTCCACTGGTTAGGAACTGGAGAAAATCTGAAATAAAGTAAGGCAGAAACCTACGCAATGTTTAGACTGAAAGTCTGCCAAACAGCACAGCATTTTTACAAAAACACTTTATATTGAAACTTTGTGTTGCTGTTTACTAAAAATTAGCAGATTTCAGACACATCTGTGAAAAGTTCACAGTCTCCCTTGAAGCAATTAACAGCTGTGAAAAATGAACTGATTCCCACAGCCTTTCTTATACAGAATCAAAGCCATATAGATTCACAGCAAATTAACATATAATAAGAAGCTTAAAAGACAAGCAAAATTAAGTATTGTTAACATGTTATCTGTCAACATTGAAGTTTTCCACAAATGCATTTAAAATAAACACATATCTCCTGACAAACAAGAGAACATGAGAACCACCGTTCACCCAGAAATCCCCAGCAATTCAGAATGTTTACAGGTACAAGGCTTCAGAATGAAAAGGAAACATGTAAAATTTTGTTCCCTAAATACCTACAGCTCCCTCTCAACAGCTTCATAGCTCTGCAGAGTAGAGTCTATCCTACTAACAGACTGATCTTGTTACAGAATGATCTGATGTATTTGAATAAGATAGTGTTTTGCATGACACCAGTATTTGCATTACATAATTCAGCCTAAAATAAATCACACTGAAGATTAATTGGAGCTTCACAGCTGTATTGAGAGAGAGAGAATGTCTTTATTATCCCCCGGGGTGGATTTTTACTTGACATGGCAGTCCACACTTTACCTTAAAGTTGTATGTAAATCGTGATGGGAAATTCTTATTGAAATAATCTGGAGAGATTCCAAATTCAGACCTGACAGATTTAATGTATTCTAGTGTTTCCCTTAGACACTGTAAATCTTCATTCTGCAACAGATGGTATCCCCAGTGTATTACCCATTGAAATTTAGGGTCACAACAGAAAGAATGGCTTAATTCAAAAACCTTTAGCAGCTATATGGGTAATACTGGATTTCAATGTTACAGGTGAAGAAATTTTCTGAGCCAACATTTGGGACGAAATAAATTCGGGTTCCAGAAATCATAACCATTATATAATTCACCTGAATTTTCTTCACAGGGCACGCTTCATATGCCTCATGAGCACTGTTACATGATGTTACTCCCTAGGTCCTAGTGTATGGTTTGTCCATGGGTCGGGTTCAATATGTTTTGGGAACAGGGCGACATGTTCCTCCTTTTCATTTACAGTTCTATACAAGAATAATCCTTGCAATCCCCAAGTACATTTACTAAATAATAACTTCGAATCTGGCCTCTCACAGCAGCAGCAACAACCAAAAAAATTGCCCCTGTAATTCCATCCTCTGGCATCACTGAAGGCTCAGTGATCTTGATGCCATTTACATGGAGCTTTTTACTGCTTGGATCAAATCTGCCAGGCAGGATGGGGAGGTGAGGGGTGGTATCACTGTGCCTCTATCATTGTGGTCTAATGCTGCATAGAGGTCCTCTGGCCCTTAATGTGAAATGAGTACCGCCGATAATGAAGGTGCTGTCGCGTATTCCATTCTTTTCTGTTATGTTGGTCTTGTTTTTCAGAAATGTAAAATTATTTTAAATACTACAGTGCAATTTAAAACTAATGCTGCAAAACTATTACAAACGATGAGAAATACAAAACACAACAGAAACAACTAAATTAGCAGCAGGAAAAAAAACAGAACACTGTTGAATAATATTTAAATTATTTTTATTATGTGTGACCCACTGCTTCATTGCAGATACTTTATTGCTAATACAAAATGTTTGACGTGATGACTCAAAATGAAATATCACTTTATAATATCAATTTCTTTAAAACAAGCATTCATTATAAGACAGCAACATACAGTACATTGGTCTTCCAGTGCTGTTGACCTCAATTGCACAGATTGACAGAGTAACAGTTTTCCACACAAAAAAAACACATTGGCCAGAAACAGAAAGCACTACGCACTGCAGGTCCCTGAACTGTTGTGTTAATTTCTTGTTCCCACTACACACCTTCACATGCACAGGCATACAAAAAACAACCTTCAAAGTACTCCATGAGATTTGTGGATATGATTTCTGTGACAGAGGTAGGAATATTGATATCACAACACAGTTCCATTTAGAAGACATAACATTATCTGAAGGAAATTCATGTAACATGTGGAAAACACTCATGTTAATATGGTATGCCCTGAACACAGTATTGCTCTCCACATTTCTTATGACATGCATGCAATAAATGATTGTAATTAACACGTGTTAATGCGCATGATGCATCTAAACCAATATCTTCTTAAAGTAATTTACCATTCATGTTAACTGAAGTTTTGAATATGTACTGTAATACATCAGCTTTTTTCAAAGAAAGAGCAATATTTTGTATGTACGTACCCAAAATGATTTTTTGATTGTAAGTGAGCTGTAATACAAATAACATTTATTTTTTTCAAATCGTTCTAAAAGTGGAAGGTCCTAAACCTCAACAACAAACCCGTAAACATATTCTCCATATCCTGGAGATTTTATATTTGAAATAAATTGTATTACTATTTTATGACCTTTGAAGAATTTAAATTTGGCACCTTTAAAGTGAAGAATTTAGACCTGAGAAAACATTTAATAAACATATTATGTGCTTCCTTATCACCTTATGGGCAATTTAAAATACAGCACTGTATTGTAAGAGTGACCATGTAATTCTACAATAAGTTATTTGGATTTCAGTACACTAGTAAGTTTACTCCATTGTTTAAGTGCTGGCAAATACAGTACTTGAAAAAAAACAAACAACCTGATATACGTTATGTTTGATATTATTCATTTTTAATATTTCCCTGCCTCATTTTCTATTTGGAAACCTATGCAAAACAGTAAAAATTAATAGCCTATAAAATATGCATGAGAGGTAGTAATAGGAAGCAGCAAAAACAACCAGATAGGGATGATATTGATGGGGATTAAGTGTGTGATATTTGCTCTCTCTCACATAAATAAGCTTTCGATATCTGAATCTGTCTCCGTTTTCCAACTATATGTGCCTTGTATAAAACATTTATTTCAATGAGAAAACATTTTAATTCAGCAATAGAAAAATGGAATTTGCAACATTAATAGGAGTGGTTCTAGAAATTTACAAAACATCTGAACAACATTCTTAGTTATTGTGACTTCTGACTTGCAATGTAAACCTTGACTTTAAATCAAGTCAGTAGATTGCAATTTTTCCAGCAGGTGACCTCCTCAGTCTTGGAGCAATACAACATCTACATTATCATGGACACCTTGTAAAAGAAGCTCCCCCTGAAAAGTAACGATCTTCTTGCGCTTGGCCGCTTTCAGGGTCCCCACTAGAGCTTCAAAGAGGTTTGCACATTTGTCATCATTAAACAGAACTCCAAACTTAACACTGATTTTGCCATCAGCATCTGGAAAAAAAATTAAATCAACATTAGAAACCAGCTCTAAAAATCCTTTATTCTTTAAAGTATAACAACTGACCTATATATTTCCCAGTCCAGTAGCTTCAAGTAAAAGATTGATTATCCAGATTATGTAACTTACTGTATATGCATTGGGGGTGTTTATTTTTCAAAACCTCATCTTACTGCTAGTCACCAGCACAGTGGGAATGACTGTTAGCACCCGCAACCTGACAACTGACATACTAAGGATACCAACCATTAACACACACGGAACCTGACCACATATACAATGCCAATAAAAAAGCAGCAGAAAAAAACCTACAGGTTGATTTTATTCTGAAATTATTATAATCACTACAATTAAACACAGGAGGAGACCAATTAGCGTACAATTGCTATTTCCAAGGGTTGTGTACACTTATTTAACCGATTTTCTAGGTTTTCATTTCAATTATTTTCCAGAATTTCTGAGCATTTGTTTTTCACTTTGAGATTGAGTGTTACAACATGCAAAAAAGAGACAAAATAAACTGTAATTGAATGTATCTTGGTTTCAGGCCACCAGAATGTTTTAATTTAGAAATGTTGTGTAGACTTTCTATATGCACTGTTAATGGAAATACAGAAGATGAACAATTTTAATTATAACAATGGGAACAGAAATGTGTTCAGGTGTACAAAATATTATATATATATAAATACTTGTCATTAGTAGTATGGCAGATACTGCTTCTCAGATTCAGAAAGCTCCCCTTTCATTATTATGATCCTATTGCCATCTTAATAGTTTCAATATTTTAATTATCTGTTCAAGATTTCCTGAGCATTATATTATACTGTAGATTTAACACTAACACCCAATTTCCTTATTTTAACACTGGTCCGTGACACTGGTGTCACACAATGACACCATCTAACTGATTTATCTAATTAGGGTAGCAGAGAGCCAGAGCCTGCCCCAGCCAGCAACAGGAGCAAGGCAGGATACATCCTGAAAAGGATGCCAGTTCACTGGAGGGCACACACAGATACAAAGATGCACACACTCACACCAGGGCCAGTTTTCCTAGAAGCCAGTTAACCTACCAGTATGTCTTTGGACTGTGGGAGGAAACTGGAGCACCCAGAGTAAACCCACATGCACACGGGGAGAACATACGAACTCCATTGAGACAGCATCCGAGGAATTGAACCCAGAACTCCAGCATGGCAAGGCACAATGTTAACCACTGTTCCAACATGCTGCCCACAATGACACCACAAATACTGAATCGGTATACAAAATCGGTATGTTTTTCTAAAAACACGAGCAGTGAGTAAATCTTCTTTGGTTGCTCGGTATATAATCATAAAGGCAACAAAAATAATGACCAATGTTAAATGTAACCTAGCAACATACTTCAGATAAGAAGCTATTTATGTTTATAAAGCTGCATTTGTAGAAAGTAATACCATACCATTAGTTATTCTTAATAGTGAAGTTGGTAAAGATTTATGAATGCATTACTTACTTGGACTGCCAAGTCGACGGATTTCATCAGCTAATAGGGACACCTCATGTTCCACGTTCATTGTTACTGAAAAACAAATAAATCTCAAGATGGGTCACTTGGAACCTCAGGACCTTGAAGTTCTCAGGGTTGAATGTGTCAGTGTCTTTCAGGATTTTAACTGCTTGACTCAAGTGCCCCCAGAGTCTGCCCCGTATTAGACTAAAAATAATCACTCTCTGTATAAAAGACATTCAGTTACAGCCAGGAATTAACCTCAATGTTGTTCTTTGAAAATATTTCAAAGTTGCAATATCCTCTTTGTAATGTGTAGACAAAAACTAAATATACCAAACGAGCTCTTATGTGCATTTTAAGTTTTGACATAACTTGCTCTGATCTATATTCTGCATTTTTCACCATATGCCCCAACATCTTGCTAGAGTGTAATTTATGATGATTGATAATGGTTTACATTAAAGTAAAACAAAATGTATTTATTCGTGAAGTGTAAAAAAGTGTATGCAGACAGAATTTCCATTATGACATATATATATATATTTATTTAACGTAAAGTAAATACATAAAAATACTTTACTCCATATTTTTCCAACATTATTGGCTTTCCTGTTCAAATGAAAGTGGTAATACTGGTCTACCTGCCCTACCCTCAAATGTGCTTCAAATATATTTTACATTCTAGTCTGAACAGTGTACATTTCCATACTGAGCTCAGACGCGACCCCTCCCCCTCCTTTGCTGAATTCCTTAGTTAATCCTCCGGTGTAAATATGTTATTGGAACAAGACGTCTTCTCTTTTTAATCTGTCGGTATTTCATTTGAATGGAGATTTCAAATTGGAATGTGACTGAAAATCGTCTCTATCATACGTCTCTTAAAAAATACACTTAAGAAAACGAACGAAGATAGAAAAAACTACGGTTTAAGGACTGCAATGATTATTCAGGAGACACATTATTCCGGCAATGCGGAAGTAGCAGTACCAACACCCAAAGAGCATGAGAATAACGCCCACTACAGAAATATAACAATGTTATGTACCACAAACACATCAGATATCTTAAAAGACCTTAAGCAACCGTTAACTTTTCACGCTTTAACAAATTAACTCTAAACATATGAGAGGCAATCTATTGTCATAACATGAAAATACTCTCAGCTCAGGAAGCGACTAGCCAATTTGTACCTTACCTAAAAGTTGCTCCTTAACAATACATATTCCTACCGATAACGTAAAATGTATGTTTTCGAAACAAACATTGTTTTCGTCAAGTCTCTTCTACTCACCTGTGTTTCAAGACAGTCTCTTGGTTTCCACTCCAGGTACACACAGCACACGGTCGGTCTTATTAATTCAACAGGAAGTGGTTTAAGTCATTGAAAGCTGAAAGCGCCATATACAGCAAATCTAGCACGTGTGACGTCAGAACAGTTTTTTTTTCTATTTAACGCATACAGTATCCATAGTCTATTATTTAACAAGAAATAATATTATCTGTTTTAAAAATCAAACACGTTTTATCCTTAACATTCAATTGTAACAAGTTGCGTAGAAATGAGTCTTCAAGCCTGTAGTCTAGCGTTTCCAATATTTAGTCTAATGCACGTATTACATGTAAGATTTTGGAAACTAATTAGGACTATAGGATCACCTGAGTGAGAGTAACATTCCAGGGGATAGTCAGCATGCATTTAAAAAGTATGAGCGTTGCTAACTAATTGAGTTCTTTATAGTAGCAAAACCAAAATCCAAACACTATGGTATATTATGACTTTTAGAAAGTATTTGATAAATGATTTATTCTCAAATTACTCTCAGATCACTCCTACGATTGATCTGATGTGTAATGTGGCACATAATGAGTGTCCTGTGTTACCCACATCAGTAGAATTGCAATAAATTCTTATTAGAATGATGTTTCTCATGCTTTGGACTAGAGATGTTGGATATTGTAGTGAGCATTGTTTTAGTCAAGTCTCTTCTACTCAGCTGTATTTCAGAACTGTCTTGGTTTCCAGTCCAGGTACACACAGCACACGGGCTGTCTTATTAATTCAACAGAAAGTGGCTAAAGTAATTGAAATCTGAAAGCACTGCCATATACAGCAGATCGAACACGTGTGATGTCACAACAGTTTTTTTTCTATTTAACGCATACAGTATCTCTACAGTCTATTATTATGTTATGATATTACAAACTATCAGTATTATTATTTCATTAGAACTAATTGTATTGTGGAGGACTTTTAAATAACCACAGAATAATGCACTTTGTTCAAAAACATGGCACGAAGCACAGCACTTCAAGGACAGTATTTTTCTTTTGGCGCTAGAAACGGCTTTCAGTCATCTTTTACAAGTGGATTGAAAATGTCTATACATGTCACAGCAGTCTTTAAGACTGTAGGCCCATACTCTTAAAAAGAACTTATGAAAAGCCTTTTTTTATTTTGTTTGTTCCAACAATCCCTTGCATCCTTTGCCATACCCTTCTATCAGGAAGAAGACCTCAAGGAGAGGGAACCTAAGCAGGACGTCTTACGTAGTGACATTTAACAGGAGGAAAATTCTTTATTATTATAGCTTTGTAATTGACTTTAGATGATACAGCCTAGGGATTTAACAGAATGGCTCCGAACACAATCCCATTAAAGAGAAGGTCTTTCATTTTACATTATTTTCATGCTGTAACCATTTGTTCCAGTGTACTAAATTTAATCAAAGGAACACATTTAGCAATAGGTGTTATCTTGTTTGTTTCAGCACCAATGGTATCAGCGATTAGTTTGATGTCTGTGATCACTCAAATAGACCCGGGAGCTGGAACCAGCAATGCCAGTCTCAACAGTTCTGCCTTCAGCAGATTTTGTAGCCCAGCTTCCACTCAAATATCTATTGTGAGAGGACTAGGCTGTTGCCAGTCCTTCCTTTTGGGTACTCTTGGCCCTCTGCTCTTGGATACAAACAATGCATACAATAATAAGGATTTTGTTGGAGTTTTTTTTTGTCTGTGGCTCTTTCCATTCTCTACTTCTTTCATCAAAAGTAGACAGCTGTAAATTAAGCACAAAGCCTAACTAGAAATTTGTGTTTTCGAATTTCCCTAGGGTTACACTTCTCATGTCTCATGTTTTTGCCCTTCTATTGCTCTCAGTAGGAAAAGGGCCCTAATACTTGGATAAAGACTTCCTGTCTCTGTGCTTTATTATTATCTTTGCACTGCAATATGGTAGACAGAGCTGTAATGAGGGCAGGCAGAATGCAGTCCATTAGCATAATGTAAGCAGCTACATCAGTTAAGCAATGCAAATCAACTATGCATTTTAATAAGGCCAAAAACTTCCACTGTATTTCTTTTTGAGGCATCAAATGTTCTGGTTATTCCAGTTATTGTGCTGAATTTTCTACTCACTCCTTTGTTTCATGATTGCCTCAATCTATATCTCCTTTGGTTATACTTCAGAGAGCAGTTCTTGAGAGAGAGGACTCATTTTTGCTGCATTGTGAATCTCCACTGGTTTTTGCCTGAGTTTAGCAATATGTTGCATACTTCCAGGCTGGCTATAAAGACACTTGTTAGTTTATTTGTGTAAAATATAATCAGAAACCTCTTCTACTTTTTGAATTTTGTTTTTTTCTACTCACCAGTTGTATTCCCAGATCAGTGCTATGGTGTTTCAGAGAGGTAGTCTTTTTTTCTGCATCTCAGCTGTGTCAGCACTAAGGATTCCATGAAAAACATGACTCTTGATCCACCCAGTAAAGTTTTTGACTTGGTCTTTTAGTGTATTATTTTCCTCTTTATATAATACTGTAACGCTTACGGCCGACAGGCACTGTGTAAGAGCCGGCGTACCAGAGCGGGTGATGTCACTGCCCTTCCCTGTGATAGCAGGACCACAGCTACTGGGCTGTGGAGAGATCTCTCTTTAGCTCACGGGGCTAGGTCACTGCAGAGAGACGCGGAAGTCCCGGGTTCGAGCCTCCAGTTGGGATGGGGCCGACCAGATCCGGCAAGGGCGCCCGCCTGAGCCCCCGTTGCGTTACAATACTCACATCTGTATTATACAGTGTTATTAATTAGAGAGTTACTAATTAAATCAATTTCACTTAAGTAGTACCTATGTTTGCTTTCAGGTATCTTCTGGTAGTTTCTAAATTGTACCCAGTGATAAGGCTGATCCTTATGCTTAAGTACATAAGGGTGCCCATATTTGTTAACACACTAAATAATGAATCCCTACATTTCTTATTAAAAGATATAAGTTATATAATGTTGTTCCTCCTGAAGTGACTCCTCTGTCATGTCAGAGTGCTATTAACTAATGTTGTATTTCCCAGCACAATTCTCTGTTAGCCATACAGTATTTCTGTGATTTCAGTTATATGATAATTTTATGCTGTTGCAGTTGCTTCTATGCCTTGAATTTATTATACCAATTCTCCATGCATAGGAGCAACAGTATATTTCCATAATGTGGGAAATAACCCTATTTGTCATAGACATGTTCAAAATATTACAGAAATAAATATGCAGAACAATTGCAAAATTTGCCCATAAACCTTTTATTTACAGTAAAAAATAAATTTGTAGGTGGCCCATCCAACTCAAATAAAAAGAAACCAAATAATTACTTTTTTATTACAAAAATGTACCTAATCATTTGCTCTAAAATACTCTATTAATGAATAACATTATGGCGAACATCATTTTATTTATGAAATGTTTTAGTTGAATCAAATACAAATAAGGAAATGTGCTTTAATGATGCATACATAGTAGTTTTTATTTCTCCTTTTACTGTAGATACTGTGATGTACGCTTCAGGGAAAAAATACATTTGACTAATTTTCTTCTGGCTTCCTCTCCAAGTCCTTGTTAGTGTATTCCCCTGTCTCCTGTGCTCTTTATCGATGTCTTTTTCCTTCTCACACTCTTGATCTCTCATTGCTGGTTTCTCTGCTGCCACAGCCAACATGTGACTCATTTGCCCTTGAGCCCTTGGAAAGCAAACATGATTGATCAGTTTCTTTGGCCAGAGATTAAATGTGGCACAATGATGTGGTTATTAGTTTCTTTGAATAAAATAAAAAAAGCTTAAGAAATGTCCTCTTATAAATCACCTTTTGTTTTTTCTGACTGCTGGAAAGATAGAAAACCTGGATTCATGCTGGTTAAACATAATTAACTATAATGTGGCGTTCTAGGGCAGTTTTCATGCTTGTACAGTATAAACTACTCTTTTTATTACTAAGTTTTTGGAGTAAATTCCATTATTTTATTCACTAAGTAAAACCTATAAAATAAAAGTAAACCTACTACACACAGTATATACTTCTTAAAGATTGTTACCAGTCAAAATCTTCCAAACACTCTTTTATATGTAACTCAAAGTAAATCAAGAGAAGCCAGTGTTTGGACTCCCTTTTTATTCCATTGTACGACATTACTCAAAATAATTCTTAGTCAATTAAGTGGAAGTGTCAAATAGGACAACAGATGCAACAGAATTAAGCAGGATTGAAATAGATTGTTTATTTTGTGTTTCTGATAAATTCATGTGAGTACAGTAAAATCTTTTTTTTTTTGCTTTTTTGTTTTAGCATTTAGATGTTCTGCATTGTTCAAATTGAAGTTAAAATAATTAAAAATATTTAAAGGCAGTATTAGAATGAATGCGAATACAAAAGCCTCACTCCCCTTCAAACGTGCTCTTGTGGCTAGAAAAGGAAGACGGTATACATCCTGTTTGTGGTTCAACCTTCTCTTCTTCTTACAGAACAATGGAACAATGTTCAGACGGCTAATGAATGTCACAGGTCATGACAGCCATTAGAGGAACAGATTGTGAATTCTAGGATTAAGTAATTTTGGAACAGCGGGCACATTTGCAGGCTTATCTTTTGTTTCAAGAATATTAATGGACTTTTTTTCTTTTTTTCTGCCTTTCTTTTTTTTAATTATATCATTTAAGCATGCCCAAAGGGTTTGGGCAACCAGTTGACCTTGGTCCCTAGAGGTGTTTTTCTCCTTACTAAGGAGTTTTTGGTTCCTCTCCTCCATTGTCTTCTGGTCGTTTCTGTTCTGTATTCACAACATGAAGGGTTACTTGCTTTGTTAAGCGCCTTGGGGCAACCTTGTTGTGAAAGGTGTTATATAAAAATTGAATTGAATTGAACTGAATTGGTTTTCATTAAAAAAAAGTATAATTTGCTTCTAAATGTGTAACTTTAAAGCATATTAAGAAAACTGTCAGAATGCATTCTTCACATCAACTCAATATTTTCTTTGTACCATTTTTCAGGGAAGAAAGATAAAGGCAGTACAGAACTGCCTTCTAGCAAGTTTTAGCATAAAGCTAAACTCAGAGAAGATGATGACAGTAGTTGAAAACTACTGACAGGATGATGATATTGGGACAAATTAACTATTTATCACACTACAAAATATGAAGAACTGCAATTGCAAAACAGTGGTATTAACAGAGAAGGGCATCAGTAAGAAAAATGATAATGATAGCTCTGCACTCTGACAAAGATTAACCACTGAAAGGACCGTCGCCATTGGTAGGCTTCTTTATGCTATCGATATCTCACAATTTCACCTCTTGTCTATATCAGTGAGGACAAATGAAAGTTAAATCTAAGGACAGAACTAACTAACTTGTACTAGGAGGTAGAACAAGAAACATCATCAATTGATACAAATAGAGAATGGGACATGCTGATTTTCAGAAGGTTTTAGATAAAGTAACTAATACAAGATTAGTTTTTACTTTGTAAACAGTAGGCATTGCGTTCAAGTTACTGTGTGTTATTGGATTAAGAATTTGTTAATGGAAAGTAATGAGAGGGTACAGATAATTGATGAATACATAAATTGGGATAATGAAATTCTTTATTCCAATTTAATCAATTGGATTAAAAGGTGGATGCTGCACATTGGTGGTGGTGGAGGGTAATCCCCATTACCTGTAAAGCGCTTTGAGTGGAGTGTCCAGAAAAGCACTATATAAGTATAAGCAATTATCAATTATTAATCATCAATTATCAATCATTAATTATTAATTATTAATTATTGTTATTATAGTTTTGCCCTCTGAAGGTACACCTGCTATGGCACCTTAGAGGCAGTCAGACATTGGCAGCCTGTCATTCTCTTTGGATGTGAACAAAAACATTGGCATACAGTCCCACTTTACTTTTATTTTATTCTTATAATGAGTTACCAACTCACAGTGAATTGGAAGCATCAATCATGAGAGCTGAAAAAAAATGTCACCTCTTTTGTTTGTCTATTGCTTGTGATGTTTATTATGGACGTGTGTTTTTTTTTATAAATATAATATCCATTGTTCAGTTGTCATTAGTTACCCCCTCTAGATGCTTAAATTCAAGATATAGTTGAAACCTTTGTACTTTAATAAATATATTTATTCATTTACTGTGGCTTTGGCAAGCGTCTTCGCTCTCGTATTACCTACTGTATGTTTTAATGGATTTGTGGCTTTCTGCGTCCCTGCCATTGGACTGCCCCTGCCCCTTTCCCTTTCACCTTTGATGAGGCTCACTTCTTCCTCTGCTTCACCTTATATAAGGGAACGGAAGCTTCTGTGCTCTTTTTGTCTTCATCGCTGTTGAGCAGATGCCCCTACACTATATCTTTTTCTTTCTGCTTCTAGCACTTTCGCTGGCACAACCTGCAAGCCCCTCTATAAGCAATAAACCTGTGTGAGCCTGATTCATTTTGATTCAATGCAAGCTTTATTATCCCCTGGGGGAAAATTGTTTTATGGCAGAGTCCAACCAAACAATACAAGAGAAACAAACAGTCATCACCAACAAGACTACAGTACACATAGTTATAGGAGTTATAAGAGTTATTTTACATTGGATGGGAGTGATATTGCAGAGGGGATGAAAGATGTCTTTAGTCTATGATCGTTACACCTTGGGACATAGAAGTGTCTCGGAGATGGGGGATGTTTAAATTCACAAACATATTGCTCTTACAATTTACGGTGCCGAGGTGCCAAACCATCAAGTAAGATACTGTAGTATTGTAAAAACACTTTCAACACTTTATTTGTAAATTGTTTTTAGTTCCCTCTACCTTAAAGAAGCCAAGCTTCCAAAGAAGAAAAAGTCTCTATTAACCTGTTTTGAAATGATATCACAATATGGATTTTTGTCTATTACCAGTCCCAAGTTCTTGAAGTTGTTGGTCAGCTTTAATCACAGTAGGCTGGGGGAAATGTTAATTTTTTCCTAAAACTGATGATTAGTTCTATTGTTTCCAGAATATTTAACATCAAAGCGAGCTCATCACACCACTTAGTAAAATCATTCAGAATGAGCCCCTGATGATTTTCCATTTCCGTGTAATAAGGTGACCAGGGCTGTGTCATCAGAAAACTTAATGAAATGTTTGTCTGTGTGTTTGCTCTTACAATTGTTAGTGTACAAAATGTACAATATGGGAGAAGAGATGCAGCCCTGTGGTGATCCAGCTCCTGTTGTTCCTTCTACACCAGCTGACACTAGGTAAACTGAAGTATTATGTGGTGTGTAAAGGGAAAAGCATATTTTCAATATCTGTGGATCTGTTTACAAACAATATAGCCTTGTGACCCTCGTAATCTTGACAGCTCAGAGCTTCCTCTCATCTTCCATATGACTGCTCTCTATGTTTAGTTCTTGTGCATTTCCCTTTTCTGACACATTTGAACAAAAAGCAGTGTGTTGCTGGTATTTTTGTAAGCACAAGGCATATGCCTATTCAGTGCTCATCCTTTTCTTTTTAATATTTGGTGCAAAAAACCTAAGTGTATAGCGAAAATCTACACACACTCACACTTGTTCTGTTAGTTGACAGGGTGATGAGGCTGTATGTCCACTTGCAGGTGGAGAGACTATTACAAAATTCCAATTCACACAGACGTATAAGGTCAATATTTTAACATTGTTTCAAAATTGTAAATAAAAATAATGCAGTTGACTTAATTAATTTATTTTTATAGGTGCACTGCTTTTTAAATATGCCCTGAATATTTGCTGCCTTTTATACGTTAATATAAATAATAAATAATATAGGGGGCAGTTGATACAGATCACATAAACATGGGATCTTAACACCAAATATAAATAAAAAAGTTTATTGGTATGTTCCTTCCTCAGGGTGACTCATTTTCGCAGCAGCTAGACGGTTATTATTTGAGGCTAGGCGTGGTAAAGAAAGAAAGCTGACTCGTCACTTTTCATGTAACAGGAGATGCTGCTTCACTGCCGTATCCATATGGACACTGCACAGAACCAGCAGCTGCTCCAGTTGCTGGCATGCAGTAGCCATGCCCAGCCCGCATGCCTGGCAGACGGGGCGACTGACTGTGTTGATACGCTCCATCCGGGTCTTCTCTCCTCCTCCCCCTCGCAGTCCCGAGACCTTCGCTGACTCGCTCTGTCTGTGTAGTGACGTCACGGGGCGCAGGAATGGCGGCGCTGGCTGTTAGAGGAAGGAGCCCAGAGAGCCTGAAACTTTATTTATACCATCAATCACTGAATTAAAAACGAGAAGAAAGAAAGAGAAGGAGAAACTTTACACAGCTACGGAAGGAAATACACGGAACTTTATCCAGTACCGCAGGCCTTGTGATTATCGACGTTTGGGGGGTGCTGGCTCACTTGATGTAGCGGTGCATTTGTGAAAGAAATCCTGCCCATTTCTTTCTTTTATTTTTAAAAGTTTAATTTTTCCCTTCTGACCTTTTGGTGCGGGGGATCGGTGGATATTTCGTCTCTGGGCTTTTAGCCGTTTGTCTTTTTTTATACTACCATGGAAAGTTTAACCCTAAGTGATGTGGAGCAGAAATACTACTCGGACTTGTTCACCTACTGCGACACGGAAAACACCAAGAAAGTGGCTTCAAACGGCAGAGTCCTGGATCTCTTCCGAGCGGCCCAGCTGCCCAGCGAGGTGGTCCTGCAGGTATAAACAGATCTGCCCGAACCGTAAATAGCCGACATAGCGGCGAAACTTTCCGCAGCACGCCTGGTTGAAACCGAGGTCGGTTTTAAACTGGGGGGTAGGCTTGGCGTTGACAATGTAGATCTGCCTACCGGCGCTCTTCCGTTTATTGCTAACTTCACTCTATTAGGTTTGTGGGATTTGGTTAAATCAGACGTGAAGTCTTACAGGCAAATATTTTGATAAATAATGTGCATGCTACGTTTTAAACGAGTAATGTTGACTATTTGTAGGTGGTGCGTAAGAGAGAGAGATGAGAGAGTTTCATTCTTAATGAGTGATTTACTCCTATTAGACTCGCACTGTTTTGGGCAAGTGCTTTTTAAATCACGCAGAATTAAATAGTTTATTTTCGCTCATCGACATCTTCCAACAGCAAGCCGCCAGTTCTTAAATGTGCACGATGTTTCTGGGGGGGTATTAAACCCCTTTTGTATAGGTGTGGCTATGGAGACGTTGCCCCTTTCCTTTTTTTTTTGATCACGAGATGATTTCTCACCACATGAAAACAACTGTTTAACGGACACTCGGGAATCATTTTGTTCCATGTTACACATCTGTACACCCAAAACCTTCATTTTAGTATCTGACTATATTATATATGAACCTGGTCTGTAGTTCTGTGGCAGTGAGCAGCTTCCGGCCTACTGCTTTAGCGTCAGAGCATCGATAGGCATGATACCACACTGATTTTAGGGATTGGATGGTTGGAAAATTGTGTCGCGGCTGGTACCTATTTTTTTCTTGTTCGTTTGAAAAGTGTAAATGTAACTATTAGGCCCTTCAACTAGTGTACTATCAGTGCACACCCAATTACTCGGAGGCTAGGAAAAAATGGATTTGAAGTCCAAACAACAGCTGAAATCAATTCATCACGTCATTTATGCTAAGCATCTTGTGTTCTTATACATATACGTGCTGGTGGCTGATGTATTGTCTTGATTCAGTGTCCAGATGTTGAAGAACCGATAACAGGCTGAATTAAAAGAAATGGGATCTTGAGCTAGTCAAAACACTTTGTCACATGCATGTTTTAAGTAGCGGATGCTTGTTTTGCTGAATGCACTCAAGCAGTGCATAGAATTCCGACTCACTAGTGTCAAAGGGGTGTGTCGGGTATTGAGGATTTTTTTAAGTGTCAGTACAGCACGTTTAGTCACGTTCTGCCACTTCATGCTGTTGCAGCGGCTGATGAGGCAGATAAGAAATCGCTAAGCGAAAACACGTTTTGTTGGGCAGCAGTTTTGAATCCCTCTTGAGTTAACACCGGTGATACACAGGTCAGTTGATGATTCATAAGATGCAACGCGTTGTTCAAGTTAGAACGGGTCACATGATCCCAGAACACAATTTGTTTTTCGCACTGAGTACTTCTTACGTTTAGGGGACTTCCATGCAGTTAGGTTTACCCCGGTCTTGAATATATTCTTTCAGTTTAACTCTCCTGTTGACACACATTTGCAATTTGGTCGTGGATCTTAAGTCTGGAAAGTTTTCTGTAAATGCATGGAATTGTTTTAAAATTTTATACAATTCATGAGTAGGTGACTGACAAATAGTAACTCGTGAATCATGATTTGAAATCTTTCCAATTTTGCCATACAGTAGTAATTATTAAATGGGGAATGTTTTTAACACTCGATTTCATATTAAAAGTCAATGAGTGTAAATGTGTGAAATTGTGAGTAGTAACAGCATACTAAGAAATTCAAATAATGAAGACCCTTATGTGAAACAAATCTCCACATGTTGTTCTGTCTTTAGTATTTTTGTAAGTGCCTTTATTTACAGTAGAGCTATTCACACACCTGTAGGTATTAGATTCGGTTTAACGTATAAGAGGACGTTTTACTTTTAGACACTTTTGTTTTTGACTTTTTGCACAATATGTTGACTTTTTAATTTGAACATTGGGGATAATTTTCTTTCTAATTGCGGAATTGATCTTGGGATCAACCCTGTTGTTGTCTTGAAGGAAGCCAGGTTTTATGTTTTAGAGTTTCACATTTTTAACTGGATAACTTGTTCCAGGCTCCTGCACCCCATTTTGCAAACAAAATGTCTTCTGTCTCAGTATTTATGGACTTACTTAGCTGGACATCATACAGTTTTACTGAATTCCAAGATTTCACTGAGATCTGGATACAACTGGGTAAGCTCACATTGAGCATGCCTTATGTAATGTTTTTTCTTCATGATCGCAAGTGATATTTTGAGCATAACTTGGAGTCTGCTCTTTTATTGCAAGAAAACTAAACTAGAGGGCCCAAAGTTTGATTGTTAATTGCCAGCTGTTCAGCTGTATGATTAAAGCAGTAGTCAGATAGATTCTGCAATAGATGCATTTTTCATCAGGGCTAAATTTGTCTGTTTCCTTGCAAAATCCCAGCTAAATTATAAGGCATCCCAGACACAGCATTTGGCATGCAACCCCCTGAGCTGGTACATTCTTCTCATTCTGGTAGGAGTTTTATTTGTATTTGAAAACTGACCAGGGGCTTCCTGTGTTTAATAACATGTTTGACGGTACCTGTGTTAGTCTAGACATTTGCATCTGTTTGTTATAAAAGTACATTAAATTTTGAGTGTACACTGATTTTTTTTTTGTAAAGGGCCATTGTATTTTATTTCAGATTAAATATGTTATTAGATATTAAGTGATGCTGTTCATGTTTTTTTTTTCTTCTGAATTTATCAGACTTCTTATAAGATAAATAAGATGCTTTCAGTAGTTCTGAAATACTGATATTAAAGGCAGAACAAATGGGTTTTCTTCCCAACAGAACTGGAAAGGTGAAAACATGAAAGAACAGATTGATAAATAGGTATTGTATTTCTTATAAGTAATTTAAAATGTTATTACTAAGAATTAGACTGTCACATTCCTAGAGTATTATGTTAAAGCTAACAACCACACCTTTCTAGGTTTTATTTTGTGTAATCTTAGAACAGTAAAAGAGTGAAAAAATGAATGTTATGTAAAAAGGTCCTCTGAATATACCAAAGGCTTTCATTTGTCTTCCAGATCACTGAACTATGTGGTGCAACTCGTCTTGGATATTTTGGACGAAGCCAGTTCTACATTGCATTGAAACTCATTGCTGTTGCACAGTCTGGACTGCCACTGCGGGTAGAAAGCTTAAACACGGGTAAGATGAGACTGGAATCCCAGAAGAATTGTTTTAGCTTAATTTTGTTTCTAAAATTTAGTGTTTTCATGATTACAATCAAAGCATGTCTGCATAGAGGATCTGTTTTTATTCTGAAGAGCTAATCATGTTTTTTTTGCCTCACTCTTCACCAGCAGTCACCTGATGGAGGCTTTATTGTTTTCAGGAGGTTCTGTCCCCATCCTGTTCAGCCTGCACATTTCCAAAGGCACTTCATAGAACTCCTGACGTTCCAAAAATATTGTTATGCTTAATTGTTAGATCACAATATATATATATTCATAGAAATCTATAGTGTAAATAAACATGGGGTTTAATTACATTGTTAAAGCTGACACTTTACAAAACATTGTTGAAAGCTGCTGTGCTCTATTATGTTGTGCTGTATTATTAGTGTGTCCTTTTACACAGGTTTTATTTAAGTAAACAGACATCTCAGTCTCGGAGAACACCTGTTTATTCTGGACCTATACATAGCACTGACAAATTATAAGTAGGTTTATTACCTAATGGTAATGCTTTGTGCTTTATAGAGCGTAAGAGAGCAGCACGTGTTGGACAGCACAAGATCAGCAGCCCATGCCTTTGTGAATCTGCATGTTGGAGTCATGGGCTGCGGGCTTTTTTATTAAAGTTAGTAAAGTTCTTTCACTAACTCGGGGTTATATATTACTGCCTTCTGTTATAGTCCTTGTCTTTCAATTGTGTAGCTAAATACATTGCTACTGGGGTTACTCAAAGCTTCAAATATGAATTGTACACCTTATCACTTAGACGATCATCTTTAGGCAGCAAGAATATCCATCTTAAACTGGCACTGTACGGTTCAGGCTGCTCAGTTGGCTCATGGTTCAAAATGCTGGTAAATTGATTTCCCTGAAATATTCATCTAAATTGATCAAAAGTTTTCTTACTTAAAGCAACAGTAGCTGGGTTAGGTTCTTTTTTGTCTTGGGTGACCTAATCTTTGAGGTGACCTTTTAAATTTGTTGAAATCTTTGCCTGTTATGCCTCCATGAATTTGTGAAATTTGTACAGTGTAAACTTTGTAGTCATTTGTTGTGTTGTTTTTTCCGACACTTTAAAATACTGTAATTCCAAACCGCACCCTTTTCACATGTGTATAGCATAATGGCAGTTCCATACAGCTAGGGCATATTCATTCCTGACCTTTGGGACTTCTGATCTCTTATTCAGTCCTTATTCTTCAGTAATAAGGTGTTCACATGGCATAATTTAAAAGTTCCACATTATCAAGAAAGTCCAGGATCCAGAAGTGAGAGAATGCACAGGTACCAAGCCCAAAGCCAGCTTTTTACCTGCAGTCAGAACAGTCAGCCATACCTATTTCTGACACTAATTATCTAGCAGGAGTACTAAATATCTCCATTTAGATTAAAGGACAGATGGGAAGAGACCTGTATCCAAAATCTACCCCCACTGGACACTCTCAAAACCCGTAAAAATGTCCCCTCTTGCTAGAGCATACTCAGGGAGCTAGAGACAGTCTCCATATGATACCAGCTACAAAGAGTCTGATATACTCTTTATAAGAGTCTTTCGAAGGTTAAGATTTTTGGAGGCAGAATTTGGTATCCCAAATATTGTCCCAGGCAATGGTCAGAGTGGCAGCATTTAAGTCCCTATCCCAAATAGTAACTGCTGCTAAGGGCTTATAAAAATCAGAGGTAAATGTATAAATCCAATCATTTTCTATTACCACT